GTATTTTTATCATATTCTCCCCTAACTCCCCCCACTTAACTCTTCCAAGATCCACCCTCCCTTCTTTACCCTACAACTTCCTAGCCTCTTTTTTTATTATTAATTTAATAACCCATCAACTCCAGTTCATGCCGTCCATATACTCATGGGCATGGAGCCATCCACTGGAGCATTATCAGCCAACCAGGAGCCACACCCTCAGAGAGAACTGTCTCACCCCTTCCCTGAAGCCATCAACAGTCCACAGCTCCTCAGCTGGGGCGGAGCTCGTCATCCCTCACTTCTGTGCTGAAGGGCTTGGTGTTGTGCAGGTCTTGTGAGCTCAGTAGTCCTGTCACAGTCAGACTGTTCCAGCGCCCACCCCAAACATCTGACTCTTACAACCTCCCTACTTCACCCTTCCATGGTGGTGGCTCAGCCCTGGGTGATGGGAGCCAGACACAGATGTCCCACTTGTGGCTGAGCACCCCCAATGACACTTCTCTGCACTTTGACAGTTGTGAGCTTCTGTCTTAACCACCACTCGATGCCCAGAGAAACTTGTCTGATGAGGTCTGAGAGCTGTGCTAATCTCTGGGTACCCAGATAAAGAATTTGGAAGGCATTTTGATGCTGTGTCCACTTAGCAAAAGAACAAACAGTAGTAGAGTCACTGCCATGAGTTCTTGGCCAGACTGGCAGTACCAAGCATTGCTGTGGTTTAAAATTTTTAAGTATTAGGACAATCAGGAAAGCAGGACTCTCAACCACCTCCATAAAGTAGTCATAGGTTCCAGGAAATCTGAGAATATTCCCCATAACTTTATGCAAGAAACATTATTTCACAGTGTTACTGAGATTCTGGGGACTATGCAGTTTCTAGGAAGTGTACTGATTTGAAGACTCAGATAGATCTACCACATACACAGAACTCATAAAGACTGACAGATTTGCTGTGCTCAGAGGATGGCAGATAAGACACCCCAGAACCAGCTCTACAAGGTCAGCAAATGTCATCGAGTTCATAGTCCCAA